GCGGGTCTGTCAGAGACAAGCAAAAGAGTCCTACGACGAAGAACCGTCAGCTTGGGGAGGAAAGTTGTCTGCGACCCAGCGTACCTTGCCCGACCAAGCAGGACCTGGCGTGAAGGACGAGCGGTAGATCGATTTGTGGTTTCAAGAGGCGGCCGCCTGGAGAGCCCTGCGATTACCGGCGAAGTTCCCGAACAGCAATCGCCCAACTCCCCGAGTGCCAGAACGACAAGATACTGGTCAGAAGACAGCGCAGGGGACATCGACAGCGACACCAGCGGACATTTCCGGCAGCCACGTTACCATCGCCGCGCGGAGCTCATTGGGGAGCGCAGGAGCGTCGCGGACGTCACGCATTAGGGCGAAGCCGGGTGGAACGTTCGTCTTCGTAAAGCGAAGTGAACCGCTAGACAGCTTCCTGGCGGCAGCCTTGACTGTCAGCGCGAACTGAGCAAGAACCTAGCGGGACCGTCCGGGACAGAGCAAGGGACAGGTATTGCCTCGAAGGGCGTGGGCCTGGAGAGCAGGGCTTGTTCACCCTAGTCTGAGAACGGTGACGCTTCCCTAAGCCCACAAGGCCGAACTCTCTGCGGGTCTAAGGCGCAACAAGCGACCCCGAGGCAACGCGTCGGCAAGCAAGCAGAGGCGGCCACTACGAGCGTCCCGAGACCCATGATCCAGAGGAGGACGAGTCAACGCGTCGAGGAGCCAGAAAGAGGAGCGCCAGCAGCCGGCGGAACCAGAGCCAAGAGATACCGAAGCCAGCCCAGCCACACACCCGCTGTACTAATACCACGAGAATAAATCCCACTGTTACCATTTGAACGCTTTGTTTTCTCACTGATCTACGGGCAATCACGTCATATAAATTTGGTGGGACGAACGCACAATCTTCTGAGCTAGCCGCACGAATCTCGTAGCGAGCAGACACACAAAATCAGTTCGTTACAACTTATACTTTTAATTCTTCGGTATGACCGATCGCGCCTTCAATCCGAAATAGACTGACTTCTTAATTTTAAAAATTTATCCAACGAGCCTCGGCCAGAAGCTTTTCTCTCTTAAGCTTCCAGAACTTTAATTTTTGTTTAAAATAAACGCTTACGCATCTCGTTCTAAAATGAAATTATGCTGACCGATGCAATTTGATTGAAAATCGGAACGCAATATGATCTGAACTTATAACGCAATACTGTCGGCTTCGAACGAAAGTTTTTTGGGCTTCGAGCGGAAGCTTTTGTTTACTTTACGATTGGTTTATTTATTTTAGCAGGACGGTCAAGCCCGGCCCTCGAAGTTAATGGAAAATGCAAAGGCAGAAACTTACACAAAGGCAACGGCAATGTCGCTGAAGGCGGGCAATATAGCTGAGATTGAAATTATACATTTGTTTATTGAATTCATAAGTTGAACCGTTTTACGGGTTGGATAACTCACATGCATTAAATACTGAGCTTAATACATTGTAAAATATATCAACAGCCTCAGTCATATTAGTGCATCAGTAAAGATCGGAGCAATCAAAGCAAGCTTTATGTGTTGAAAGTTTGCTTTACGGAAGTATTAAATTTGTTAGGCATATATTGAGAATTCAGCCAACGGCAAAATATAGAAACATGTTGTGTGTAGAACTACCGGGAAGAGACAAAAATTCGATGTCGTTTCTTTCTTCACCGTTCTCAGACTCAGACTACGGTGAGTAGGTGCCGCGCTCCCCCGGGCTATGACCGCCTGTCCCTTGCTCTGTCCCGGATGCTCACGCTAGGATTTCGCACAGAAGCTGCCTAGCAGTTCACTTCGCTGTAAGCCTAGTATAAGCAGATGTTCCATCCTAGCTTCCCCTGTTTCTAGTTTTTCGTCACGTTTCTGCGTTGCTCTATGAGTTTTTTGTTGCTGGCGTGATGTTACTGCTGACGACGTTCGCCGCTGACGATGCCTGCTCTTGGATGTGGTTGCCGCGAAGTTGGATGTATCGTGGTCTCTGGGTTTCTCGAGGTTTCGGACAAACGGGACTTCGCTCGCAAAACCGCTGGGCCTCTCCAGGACTACTCCTCTTGAAAATCGATCGTAGGCCGGCACACGCCGCTCTTAAAGCTCTTGGGGTATAATATCTGCATGAGCCATCCCTTGTGTCGGTTTCTCGTGTGCAATACGATATTGTGTTCAGGACACTTTATTTCGCTTTCAACTTGTGTAAGGAAATGAATTTAACCTCGAGCTGTGCATTTATTCCGCTGCATCTACCGTAATTTAACCTAACTTGCCGTCTTGTCCTTGTAACCTTTCCTAGAGCAGCCAGATTGTCCGCCAGTTCTTCGCTAATAAAGTTCGGTGTTGACCTGGTGTCAATTGTGGCTGGTGTGGTTGGTGCTGCCGACTTCCCTGCCCTGGGGAACTTTGTCTCCTGTACGAACGCTTTCCGCTTCCTTTCCAGTCCCTTATACTCGTCGGCTAAGATCATTACGGTCTTAGTGGAGTTACCTCTCGGTGAATAATTGCGTGGCCCCGTCATCGTCTTCATGTCGATCATATAGTCCTTAAAAGACTTGCTAAAGCCCTGCTTCCGTTGCTTGACTTGATACGCAAGCTTCGTGAATAAGTCTCTTGGTAGGAAACAGGTGTGTAAGGTCTTTATGAATTCTACCTAGGTTTTCCATTGCTTGTTGTTCGAAATGAACTACTGCAAAGCCCCCTTAAGTACTAAAATGGTTTTTCCACACCGTCGATCCTGAATGAACACTGGCGGTGCTGTTTGGCTTAACTCTCTCCTATAGGCCTCCTTTTGCAGGTTGTCGAAGGTAACGTTAACGTTGTTAACCTGATGCTCGGGCCTGCTTTATCGCGGCCGAGATGTCGACGAGTTTTGGTTCCTTTTCCGTCTCTGAATAATATTTATAAAATGCCCATGTAATCGTGACCGCCGAGTAGATCAGTGAGGAGGAACAGAATCTAAGGGTTTTCTGTGAGCTTATTTCGTTTGGCTTATTACAGCTGGTCGATGATCGCTCACCTCGCCGACTCCGTGATCCTGTAGCGCGAGACGCTCCAGGTGTTGATCGCCTCTGCTCGCTTGCTGATGAGTTGACTCAACGGCTGCTTGTCTCGTGGACTAGGGAAACGTCACCGGTCTCAGACTAGGGAGAAAAGGTGCCGCGCTCCAGGGCTACGTCTGTCGAAAGAACGAGATCCTGTACCTTGATATATGCCGGGCGGACCTACTATGATTTCGTTCAGTTCGCGCTGACAGTTAAGGCTGATGCTACCTAGCAATTCCCTTCTCTTTCGCCTAGGCGAAAGACCTAGGAGTTCCACTCTAGCCGTCGATGCCGATGCCGATTTCCTGTGCTTTTCTCCTGGATATACTTTCTGATAGGCTTTTCAGAGCCACAATTGGTCATGGCTAGTAGCGATTTCTGGCACTCGGGATCTCGCCCAATTGCGTTCTAGGACCTCGCTGGTAAAACCGGTGGACTCTCCAGGACTACGCACTTTGAAACAACAATCGCCCTTCATGGCTAGTCGCGCCCAGGACCTACTCAATTTGCACTTGACGAACGGCGGGACACGACGAAGAAGTGTTTGGGCAAGGCACCCTGAGTTTAGGAACAAATCCCCTTTACTTAGACGTGTGATACCCTCAGGACCTCACCTACCTGTGTCTCAATTCGGAGATTCCTGATGTTACAATCCCGAACGTCTTGACGTAGCGATCTTGCTTCTTCTAGGTTTTCCACGGCGCTGCTTTCAATGACTTGACTTGTTGTTGTTGACTTGTTGTTCACTTGATGCCGGTTGACTGATTCTTTGATTTTAGTAGTCTGACTGATTTTGATGGGTTGAGTCCTCGACTTATCCAGCTGCCAGCGCTTTGCGGTCTTTAATAGGGCCTCCGGGAACCGCTATTTTGCTCTTGCGTACGGCACGCTGGTACTCTACACTCCAGGTCCAAAGTCCGTGGTTCCTGTTGACGTCTTGACGCCGTCCTGCAGACACTTCAGCGGCATGTGGTCCGCATGAGCGCTATGATCGCACTTTCTTTCCTGGTCCAAAGTTCATAGCATAGTCCAAAGTGCTGTGCCGTTCGGTTATTTACTTTTGCACACGGCACCTGCGAAGTCTCCACTCTCTCTCTCCAAAATCGTTCTCCAAACTCTCTTTCTCCAACTTCTCATTCTCCAAATCTGCCAACTTTTTCATTCTCCGACTATTGTCTCTATCCAAATTCGAATTCTCCAACTTATCTTTCTTCAAACTCTGTTCGCATTGCCGATACTAAGCGCTCGTCGCTTATCTGGTAGCTGACAGATGAATCTCTCGAAGCTCCCTTGATGTTCCCTCGAAGCTCCCATGACGCCCACAGCACTATCTTAGGTTTCCGAGCACCTCAGGGTGACCTCATCATCGTCTGCATGTCGATCATGAAGTCCTTAAAGGCTCACTGTAGCCCTGCTCCCGTTGCCTGACTTGATTCGCCAGCCGAGAGAAGAAGACTCTCAGCAAAAAATATGAATTCCGGGCAGGTTGCCCATTGCTTGCTGTTGGCAATGAATCAGCTCAAAGTCCTATCCTTGAGCAATTTCGGCATCGCACAAGAAATCATGTCATTGCCGTATGTGTTGGCGCACAACTCTACTTGCTCCAACTATCGCTCTTTAAACATTTTTCCTCCAAATTATAATTCTCCAACCACTCATTCGCCATGTGTTGTTCTCCTACTTTTCATTCTGCACTTTCTCATTCACCAACTTTTGTTCTCCAAACTATCATTTTCCACTTTCTCAATTTCTAACTCGTTCTCCAACCTCTCCTCGCCTTGTTGTTACTAAGCGCTGACACGCCACTTATCTGATAACCGGCTGGCCATCCTATATAACTGCCGCTGCATTTTGTGAAGAGCTCCTCACAAAGTTATAAAGAACATGGCACCAAAATGTAGTTCTGAGGGTCCGGCTTCCCAGAAAATGTCAAATATATACTAACTTGCTATATGCATTTTTTTTCAGGGGTTGGAGGTTTGTAATGCTGAACTGGAGCCTATACTTACTACTTTATCCAAACCACATGCTCAAGCTATTGTACAACGGGTAAGGGTCTTGAATCGAACAGTTCGGGGTCGCACAAAAAGTCGATCAAAGCGTAAGCCTGATATACGAGATGTTTTTCGCGATTTTGATGTAAGTAAAATGTAAGTAAGTATGTTCATATTTATATTTCGTGGATCGAACCGTTTATAAATTATGTTAATTAAAAATTAAAATAAAATTCGACATAATTTTTAATGTGGGGCCATCCCGCAACCGCGACCTTAATGTCCTCGATGGACATCGATTTTCTAGGAAATCACCATGGATAATCAATATAGAACTTACAAGGCGAATCTTAAAAATCGTTATCTAAGGAGGACCATATTTGCTTTTCATTTTTTGAATATGGGATATTACACCTGATTTTTTTGACTGACAGGGAAAAACATCATGGTCATGCTTACAAAACTCGTGATTATAAACAGAAGTAATCTAAATCAGTATAGCATTAAATAATCTAATTCGTACTTTTTTTATTTAATTAGTTAAATTTACTCCCCACAACCATATCATATCAGAAATTCAAGAATTGGACTTCCAACAACCGATAGAGAATCGGTTGGATCCTAAATAAATAAATAATTTTGAGCATATATTTGATCTATGTTTAAAAAAAGAATGCTATAAAGTCGTGAACGTAAAAATTAATAAAAATACTTCAATCGATTTTTTTTTTGGCAAATTTGCCTTAGAGAATCTTTTGTAATCTTTACGTTTACAATTTTGTAGTGTTCTTTTTTTAAGCATTCATCAAATAATTTTATTTATGGTATGAATAATATTGCCAATCACATTGAAGATCCCGTGAGGTAATTGTAATTCTTCAGAAAGAAGAATCGTGCCAGGTAGCCTATATAGAACTTTTTCCTTCCCTAAAGCGGAATAGCATCCTTTAAATCTCGCCATAAACGTTAGACATCGGGTCGAAAAAATATAGAGAGTGGATGAACTTTATGTAATAAAACCCTTTGTAATCCAGGCATTCATATGCCGCCCAACATTTGGAGACAATGGTGACCCCGCTGGCGATGTTTAACTAGATTAGAGGGATGAGTGTATCCCTGTTCCGATCTTTAACTGCAGGAACAATTTTCCGAACTCAGTCGATACCTTCAAACACCCATTAGCCCTCTAATGGTTACCGGTTGCGCCATTGCCTCTAATATAGAACTTGTCGTTTTTTGAAGCCCAATCTTTAAATATTTCACGAAGGAAAAGGAATTATTGAGTAGTCCGCAACAGTTTGGGAAGATGAACAGATGTCTTTGCTCCATTTACTCCCTTTTAGTGCTTTTCAACAATGGGTAAACGCACTTCCGTCTCTTTCTTGTTCGCTTATGTGAATGCACTGCAGGTTAGAACGCAAAGAGCGATAAGACCATTTCTAAGAGAAACAGAAACAAAAATTGTTTTTTGTTCAGTCAAAGTAAAAATAAACTAGAAGACATTACAATTTACAATGAAATATGTTGAGAATCGTTGGATGCTGGGTTTCTCCGCAGTTACACTCCAAGTAATCTCCACAGCTAGCTTGTCCGTAAATAGCTTTAAATAATCGTACAGCTCACGATAAGCACGTAATTTCGCACCCTTTGTTGAAGGGGACATTTAAATATGTTAAGCAATTAAAAACATTGAGAAAAAAACAAAGCTTTTGAAACGTACAAATTTGATACAAAACCGCACTGTACACAGCCAAATCGCGCAACGAAATGACGCTCGGTCGAAAAATAACAACAAATTTTCAGGAAAAAAGGTGTAACGGAAAATTTCCGCGACCTCTACTTATGGCTTGTTTTTTTCCACCAATTACTTTACCTTTTACTCTACGAGTAACGGGTATACTAGATTCGTCGGAAAGTATGTAACAGGCAGAAGGAAGCGTTTCCGACCCCATAAAGTATATATATTCTTGATCAGGATCACTAGCCGAGTCGATCTAGCCATGTTCGTCTGTCTGTCTGTCCGGATGAACGCTGAGATCTCGGAAACTATAAGAGCTAGTGCCACGCCCACCCTAACGCCCACAAACCGCCCAAAACTGTGGCTCCTACAGTTTTGATGCTAGAATAAAAATTTTAACTAAAATGTATTGTTCTCATCAATACTTATCGATTGATCAATAAAAAGTTTGCCACGCCCACTTTAACGCCCACAAACCGCGCAAACCTGTGACGCCAACAAATTTCATGCTAGATTAAAAATTTTAACTGAAATGTATTGGCCTCGTCAATACCTATCGATTGATAAAAAAAAAATTGCCACACCCACTCTATCGCCCATTACGCTTAAATCTGTCTACCGCCGGTAGGTGGCGCATTTTAATCTCGCTTTGCTGCTTGCATATCTCCATTTCCCCTTGGTCCCTTTAGCTGAGTAACGCGTATCTGATAGTCGAGGTACTCGACTATAGCGGTCTTCCTTGTATTGTTTTTGTAAAATGTGTAATATCGCCTTTCTATCGCTCAGAAGTGTCTCAGAAGTTACTTCTTCGCGATCCCGTCCCTTTTTGTTTTTGTAAAACGTGTACTATCGCCTTTCTATCGCTCAGAAGTGGCTTAGAAGTTACTTCTACGCGATACATGTATATTTTGTTTTCTACTATCGCCTTTCTATCGCTCAGAAGTTATTTCTTCGCGATCCCGACCCTTTTTGTTTTTGTAAAATGTGTACTATCGCCATTCTATCGCTCAGAAGTGTCTCAGAAGTTACTTCTTCGCATTCCCGACCCTTTTTATCGCGCAGAAGTTACTAAGAAGTGACTTCTGGACGACAGGCGATAGAAATATCGCCCTTTTGCTTTCAGTGGCATGACGCGCAGTTCGGCCTGAAACTATTTACACTCACTGAAACTATTGACACATGCATCAATAAATTTATTGCCTGGCTTTGACGTGATTGCTACCCTGCAGTTCCACAATTGAGTATAAGCGCCCAATCATCCCGAAGTCGACTGCTACGTCGGCAGAGCAGCCAGCGACGCCAGCAGAGCTCAGCGCGACGGTGGCAAAGAGACGCGCTCTCAGTCGGGTTCCGCAAAGAGAACGCACAAAAAGTACTTTTGGGCTCTCCCTCTCTCGCCATGTCTCTGCTGGAAAAATGAGGGAAAAGGCAATGAGGCCCAGCACTTAAAATATATAGACTTTTGTGCACCCTTGCCTTTTAAAAAATGCGACATTTTTTCATAAACGTTAAAACAACCGATTAAAATAATCGGCTTGGGTTTTAAAATATTTGTATTTAAAAAAAAATGTATATGTTTAAAAATATTATTTATTAATATGTGAAGTTTTAAAAATATTTATTATATAACGATTTGCATAGTCGTATATGTCTATAAATACCCTGCTTTTATGTGCACGGTGCATAGACCGAACGGGATATGCGAAAAAAACAAAACAACATCGGATTGGCGGAACAAGTTGTAGTTGTTGCTTGTTGTTTTTCTGGAAGGCACCCGCCTTTTTTCGTCTTTTTTACTTGCGTTTACTTATGTGAAGGAGTTAGAATTACCCGCAATTAACGTAGATACAAACCAGTTTCCAGGTAAGTCTGTCCCAGACCAATATTTATTCAAACAGTGAGAGTAAAAACAAGTTAATGTATACTAAAAAAAAAATACAAGATTCGCAAAAAAAACACGTGGCGGAAAAAAAATAGCTGTGAAAAATATTAATTTTTGATATAAATAAACAAATGAATGAATTCAAAAATCTTATTGAGTGTAAAGTTCCTAGAGATAAAAAAAAAGAGATGTTTGTTTTTAAAACGAATGTTTGTGATTAAAAATGATCAATAATAACATTAAACCACAGTTTTTATTTTCTATTTAAATAAAAGTCTCTATTTTCAGTTCCTGGAAAAGTGTTAGTTTTCCCGTAAATGAAAAATAAAATAAATTTAATAAATAATACAAAGATATATAAATAACGTGTTGTATCCTTTTCTTTATAATTTTGTACAACAAAAAATAAAAGAATCCAGTGACCGAAAACGAAAATTGAAGAATATCTTCTCTTATTTTTTAAAATTTAAGTTTTTTTTATTTTGTAAGATTCATTTTAAAAAGACGTCTGCGATTTTCTTTAAATACCAAATATAACATTTTCTTTATTATATGTAAATAAAACTTACAAATAACGATTACTTTCGGTCACTCGTATTTATTCTCGTCTCGTTATATTTTCAAAACTAATTTGTCTTCTTATGATGCAATCGCTCTGGTTAAGCCCTTGGAGCCTCCCGAAAAGGCGCTGCAGAATGCAATGCGGTGCGAGAAGAATTTGAGCTGCACCAAAAAAAAAGGCAACGCCGCCCCAGATGCTGGCGAGGAGGTGCCAACGGCTCCGTTAGAACCGGAAACTCCCTAGCCAACATTTTAAAACAAAGAAAAAAATAAAGAAATTAAATAAAACTGTTAATATTTTTGCTGCTACGCGATGAAAAGGTGCCTAGCATGTGATTTTTTGCTGCTTAAACGAACGCTCAGCGTGTGCTTTTTTTTGCTGCTCAAAAAAGCGCTCAAAAGGCTGCCCAAAAAAGCGCTCAATGCGTGCTAGTTTTTGAGCACTGATGAAGCCATCGACATGCCTATCAGAGATCTGCAACGGGTATGATCGAATCATCTCGATCACCATGCAAAATTTTTCGCTCAATTCCACTAACTTCGCTCAGCCGAAATATGATTGTTCATGATGCATACCCGAAGCAAAAGCTAAAACAATAATCAGGCACGAATAAGCATTTTGATTTCACGTTCGTGCATCTGATCGGATCGCTTCGGAACGATCAAAATGATCATTTTAAGCTTCGTGAACGAGGACAAGGAATGATCGTAGCTAAGAGCGCGTCGTTCCGAACAGAGCATGATTGTTTTGATTTTTGTTTGTGTTGCGCAGGAATTGGTCGTGCAGTACTCGAGTAGAACTTATGGATTTTGTGTGTGTGCTACGCAGGAATAATAGTGCAATATTCATTTATTACAATTACATCATAAGAAACAATAAAAAATTATGTTGATTTATGAATTTTTATGAACTATTTATATATACTTATTTATATATATTCAATCCATCGTCAAAAATTGAGAA